GCGCAAGCACTCCAAAAAGCCTTGCCCCGCGCAAGCACAAAAAAGCCTTGCCCCACGCAAGCACACAAAAAAGCCTTGCCCCGCGCAAGCACAAAAAGCCTTGCCCCAGGCAAGCAGTCAAAAAAGCCTTGCCCCGCGCAAGCACTCCAAAAAGCCTTGCCCCGCGCAAGCACAAAAAGCGTTGCCCCAGGCAAGCAGTCAAAAAAGCCTTGCCCCAGGCAAGCAGTCAAAAAAACTTTGCCTCAAGCAAGCACCAAAGCCTTGCCCTACGCAAGCACAAAAAGACTTGATCATATACTCAAGCGTAAACCATTATAGTATCGCCCAGGGACATACAAAAATCCCACATCATTTTGGACACCCTCGAGAATCTCACATTACAACTTTTTGAAGTTTAGTGTGCTCGAGGTTTATAGCCCTCGAGGATTTCACAACCCAACTTTTTAAAGTTTAGTTGTGCTCGAGGATTACAGTCCTCGAGAATGTCACTATCAATTTTTAAAGTTTAGTTGTGCTCGAGAATTACAGTCCTCGAGAATGTCACTATCAATTTTTAAAGTTTAGTTGTGCTCGAGGATTACAGTCCTCGAGAATGGCACTCATTTTTTAAGATTAATTGTGCTCGAGGTTTACAGTCCTCAAGAAGTCACATCATCATTTTATTTATTTATTTGTGCTCGAGGATTACAGTCCTCGAGAATGTATGTCTGTCACTTCTTAATCCCTTAAATGCGCTCGAGTTGTGGAATCCTCGAGTAAACACTTCAATGTCGCATGAGCAATTAGTTTCCAATTTGTTTGCTCTAATGTATGGAGTCCAAGGGGTCGAGATAAATAGTTCGAATAAATTAACTTTAGAACATACATAGTCCTTGATCAATTTACATTGTCAAAAATTAAACAAAAAATTACAAAGGACCGGGGTGGGGATGTCATCCAATGTGGCCAAGAGGAGGGTCGAGGTTGCTGATGTCGATCTTAACGTCGTCCTCAAGACCATCCTCATCATCTCCACCCGATCCTCCTCCATCTTCCGAACTCAAGAGCTCCAATGTATCAGCAATGGAAGGCACTGTCTTCAGGTCGTCTGGAGTGACGTTGGGCAACTTCTGAAGGAGGAAGGCCCGGGCTTCTTTCAGAGCATGGAAGTACGCCCCCGACGCATACTCCCCTTTTATCTTGTCGCAGTCCTCGGAGGTTTTAAACTCCTCCCAAGCCCTCTCCCTGACAGCCGCGAGCTCGCGCCCGAAATCCTCTGTCTTCTGGATGAGCTCGAGCCTCGCGCCCTCGACCTCATCCTTTGCTATAACCAGGTCATCCCTGGCCTTTGCAGCCTCCCTCCTCGCGTCATCACGCTCCTTCAATAAAACCTCGACCTGTGCCTCGAGGTCTTGAATCCTGTTGTCCTTAGAGGCCATGGACGTCTCGACCCCAGCTGCCCTCTTGGCCTCCTCGAGCCCTTGTAGAGAGAGTCCTCGAGCTATACTCAACATCTGGAAAAAATGAAGAAAATGTCAAGTATTAAGCTCGACCAATAAACTCGAGGCTAAAGTCAAAAGTTCGAAGATTACCTTCACTGTAAGACCCTCGAGGACCTTCATCCCATCCTCGAGCTTGACCTCCTCTTTGTATTTGTTTACGAGCTCAGGAGCGAGGCGGCAAGTCTCAAAGTCCCCGGTAAGAGACGGGTCATCCTCAAGGTCAACCACTTCAGAAGGAGGCCGAGGAGTGACGACCCGAGGAGTGGGAGATCTGAGGTTCGGTTGCAGAGGGGTCGAGACTTGTGGATGTGCTCGAGAAGTTTCGCCAGGCCCCCTCGCACCCTCAGGAGCCCCTCGAGGCCTCTTCTTGCTTTTCTTCCTCGGGGGCTGCCCCTGTGGATGAGCGTCTCCCCTTGTGCTGACAAAGTTCCGGAGAGCCCGAGGATCAAAAGACATACCTGCAGATATTTACAAACATTTTAGAACGAGCACAAGGTCAGGGTATTTTTCAAAAAAAAATAATAAAGGAACATCCCTACCCTCGACGCCTCTAATATTTGCCAGGTCTATAACCTCTTCCCCAATCTCCTTCATCGTCGAGAAAAGGGGGCTGAGCCCGACCAGCATCCTCCTATGCTCTTCCAAAACATTCGGATACACCTGGCCCTCACAGAACTTCTCGGCGTCGAGGATTCCCCAATCAGGCCAGAAAGGAAGATCGGGTTCTTGGGCTATAACATAAAACCACCCCTCCCTCCATCCCTTTAAAGAGCTCGCCATCCTCGGGACTTTAAAGCCCCCAATCGTCGAGAGATAGCCAAAACAAGTGTATCGAGGATGCTTCTTAAGCTCGAACACTAATTTGCTGAGGCTAAGGTTGGGCTCGATACCTAAGTATCTACATGCTATAAAAAAATAAACGAGCATTCTCCAGGCGTTGGGAACTAACTGCCCCGGGCACATGGAGTGCTCGACTAATAGAGCAATAAAGAAGGGGTGAAGGGGCCACCTAAAGCCAGCCTTAAGGGTCTCCCTAAAAATAACAAACTCCCCTCGTCGTGCTCGAATAATCCTATCCTCGGGGTCAGGAAATCTAACATCGCAATTAGGCATTATACCATATTCCCTAGCTGCAGCTATGACTGAGTGCTCTTTAAGCATACAGGGTTCGTCGGGATACTCAAAAACCATATTAACCTGGGCCTCGGGAGTAGCCTCTAGGGGGATAGCCGTCGGTATTATCGAGGTCCCTACGTCCTCGCTACTACTAGAACTGCTAGAAGATTCTCGACCCTCACTACTCGACATCGCTTAACAAACTTAAGACCTAGCTTATGAATAACTTAAAGTCTCGAGCCTTACCTGGAGTTCCCGACAACTTGAGAAGTTCCCAAAGTGTTTTTCTCGAGCACGACCTCGCAAAACTCCCTAGCTGCAGCTATGACTGAGTGCTCTTTAAGCCTACAGGGTTCGTCGGGATACTCAAAAACCATATTAACCTGGGCCTCGGAAGTAGCCTCTAGGGGGATAGCCGTCGGTATTATCGAGGTCCCTACGTCCTCGCTACTACTAGAACTGCTAGAAGATTCTTGACCCTCACTACTCGACATCGCTTAACAAACTTAAGACCTAGCTTATGAATAACTTAAAGTCTCGAGCCTTACCTGGATATGAAATGATATAACCCATGTGCACCCCATCCTAAGAGCTCGATCTCTAGGACGAGTGCACGGGGGCCAGTGACTATGCCAATATTCATATACCCCGAGGACTCAATATATACCCCACCTCATTTCTCTTCTATGGTCCTCGGGGTCACCCTAAGTCCTCGAGGTACTGTAGTCCTCGAGATACCTCGAGGACACATTTACATTCCCTCAATGTCCTCGAGAATAGTCCTCGAGACATACACCACCAACATGCCTCCTAAGACCTGGGTACCTAACTAACAAACCTAAACACCCAAGGATTTTACATCAACCCTGACACCACTTGTTAAACAATTCCATTACAAGTAGGGCAGCCTCACGCATATATTTCCCTTTCTGACTTAAGCATCGGAGGGGCGACGAGAACACACCTCGTTGCCTTTGTTTCAGGTATCAGAAGATCACGTTCGTGCTCAACATCCGTCATCAAGCTCGAAAAATCTACAGGTACGATTTTTGGTAGCATCACTGAGCATTGCGCTATGAAGCAGAAAATGAAGCTGAGAATATCTCCTATAAAAGCAGAACCTTGGGCCATTATTCAGGTACGTTTTTACATTGTTCTTCAGCACATAGCCTCACGCATATATTTCCCTTTCTGACTTAAGCATCGGAGGGGCGACGAGAACACACCTCGTTGCCTTTGTTTCAGGTATCGGAAGATCACGTTCGTGCTCAACATCCGTCATCAAGCTCGGAAAATCTACAGGTACGATTTTTGGTAGCATCACTGAGCATTGCGCTATGAAGCAGAAAATGAAGCTGAGAATAATTTTTTAGCTCGTAGAATATGCCTCTATTTTGATTAATTTGTATTAGGAATTTTGGTATCATCCTCGAGGGTTTGATTCTGGAGTTTACGAATCAAATCGATTGAGATAGTATGGCGTTTTGGTGGCCTTTAATAGTGCTCCCTTTCGCATATGCGATATATAGATTCCTCCTTATGTTCATCTCTTGCAACGTGCCATCTATTAAGTTGATGCCTCCAATGGTTCTACTCTAGTCTATTTCTTTGCGTGTGTGTGTTGTTGTTGTTGTTGTTGTTTTTTTACATTTACAATTTTGTATGGATTTGATTGTATAATATAGGAAAATTTATCTATATGAATTCTAGGAATGCACGCTCAGGTGAGATAGTATGGCGTTTTGGTGGCCTTTAATAGTGCTCCCTTTCGCATATGCGATATATAGATTCCTCCTTATGTTCATCTCTTGCAACGTGCCGTCTATTAAGTTGATGCCTCCAATGGTTCTACTCTAGTCTCTTTCTTTGCGTGTGTGTGTTGTTGTTGTTGTTGTTGTTTTTTTTTTACATTTACAATTTTGTATGGATTTGCGTGTATAATATAGGAAAATTTATCTATATGAATTCTAGGAATGCACGCTCAGACGGTTTGCTCTCTACTTCGAGAAATAATTCGAATAAAATGCACCTAAAGGTTTAGGACATGACATAAACAAGTGATGAACTAAATTTGTATTTCTGTAATGTTTTAAATCATCAGAATAACTAATTAGAATCTGTATGTGTATAAAATTGTGCTTGTTACTAACAATGAATATAACTTTTTTGCATTTGTGATTGCGTTTGGTGTGAATTGGATGGTTACCAAATTTGTATTTCTGTAGCCTTTTAACTCACAAGTTTTTATACTTGAAAAAATCATTACTACTTGTATGGGTAGAAAAGTTTGTGTAACTAACGAGTAAATTTAACCAATGCTCACTGAATTTTAAATTTGGTTACTACTTGCTCACTCATCTTTTACGGGTTACTCACTCATCTTTCCATATTACTCATCCACCACTCGTCTATTCAAATAATTGGGCAACTTTTGCGGCAACTTTTCGACAACTTCTGCATTTGTGATTGCGTTTGGTGTGAATTGGATGGTTACCAAATTTGTATTTCTGTAGCCTTTTAACTCACAAGTTTTTATACTCGAAAAAATCATTACTACTTGTATGGGTAGAAAAGTTTGTGTAACTAACGAGTAAATTTAACCAATGCTCACTGAACTTTAAATTTGGTTACTACTTGCTCACTCATCTTTTACGGGTTACTCACTCATCTTTCCATATTACTCATCCACCACTCGTCTATTCAAATAATTGGGCAACTTTTGCGGCAACTTTTCGACAACTTTCGACCACCAAGAATGTCGAATTTTGATACCGTTGAAAAGCTCACAACGTCTTCTTCAATTACCACCCAAAATCTTCCTATAACTCTAAGGGATTCGATCGGAAATTGCCTTAAAAGTCGTCCAAAAATTTTGAAAATCCGCCCAGATTTTCAGATTTTTTGGGCACCTTTTAAGGCAATTTTTCGGCAACTTCCGACCATCAAAACTGCCGAATTTTGATACCATTGGAAAGCTCACAATGTTCTCTTCAATTACCACCAAAAATTTCCCCATAGCTCCAAAGGATTCGATCGGAATAAACCCACAAAGTCTGCATCTGACTTTGTGGGTTTATTCCGATCGAATCCTTTGGAGCTGTGGGGAAATTTTGGGTGGTAATTGAAGAGAACATTGTGGGCTTTCTAACGGTATTAAAATTCGGCAGTTTTGATGGTCGGAAGTTGTGCCCAGATTTTCAGATTTTTTGGGCACCTTTTAAGGCAATTTTTCGGCAACTTCCGACCATCAAAACTGCCGAATTTTGATACCTTGGAAAGCTCACAATGTTCTCTTCAATTACCACCCAAAATTTCCCCACAGCTCCAAAGGATTCGATCGGAATAAACCCACAAAGTCTGCATCTGACTTTGTGGGTTTATTCCGATCGAATCCTTTGGAGCTGTGGAGAAATTTTGGGTGGTAATTGAAGAGAACATTGTGGGCTTTCTAACGGTATCAAAATTCGGCAGTTTTGATGGTCGGAAGTTGTCGAAAAATTGCCTTAAAAGTCGTCCAAAAAATCTGAAAATCTGGGCAAATTTTCAGAATTTTTGGGCGACTTTTAAGGCAATTTTCCGATCCAATCCCTTGGAGTTATAGGGAGATTTTGGATGGTAATTGAAGAGGATATCGTGGACTTTCTAACGGTATCAAAATTCGACATTCTTAGTGGTCGGAAGTTGTCGAAAAGTTGCGCAAAAGTTGTCCAATTATTTAAAGAGACGAGTGGTGGATGAGTAACTATATGAAAAGATGAGTGAGTATTCAGTAACTCGTGAAAGATGAGTGAGCAAGTAGTAACCAAATTTCAAGTTAGTAAGCATTGGTTAAATTTACTCGTAACTAACCATAGATATAGTTTTTGTGCATTTTTGATTGAGTTTGCTGTGAATTGGATGATTACAGTGTTGGATAATGGGAATCAAACGAAGGAAAACAGCTTCATCTATGTAAGGTTTTGAAATGCTGTTTGTTTTCCTATTAAAAATCAGTAATTTTCTTTCGATAACGTGAATTTTAGCTTCTATTAGATGAATTTTATTTGTACTAGTTATTTCCTTTTGTATTTTTATGTTGTGGAATGAATATTAAGACATTAGCAAAATAACAAATTCCAACATTAGCTTTAATTTTGTCAGACTTATCTAAAAACAAAGAATTAAAATAAAGTTTTGATTTCACTAGTGATGCATGGAAATTCTAGCATGTTTGGTTAGGCTTAAAAGTAATGTAAACTTAATTTTAAGTAAATTTTGTGTCAAACATGTTTGGTTGTATTTAAAAGTAAAACTTTTTCTTAATTTTAAGTATAATTATTTTAACAGTAAGACGGACCTTTAAATAACTTATTTTCTACT